TCTACGTTGGCCGATCTCTTGAGGGACTGCTGGTTCAACAGGCTGGAGGCCAGACCGGCGTGGTACTGCAGCTGCCCAGAACCAGAACAACCGATCCATCAGAACCGCTACCCACTGCTGGTTGTCATGGTAACACGCTGTTTATAGGACCCCCACCAAGAAAGGAACCAGGACTGAAAGGCCGGGGTGAATGAGGGGATGTTACCATGGTAACCGTGTTGGAGCAGGACACGTCCAAACCAGCAGGACAGCAGCCTCTGAGGACTGGAGCTGGACGGCCCTGGGGCCCAGAACGTGTTACCATGGCAACGGCCTAAGGTGGCGTCTGGCGGGACTCACCTTGTTGGACCATTTGTAGGCCTGCAGCAGCTGAGAGTAGAGAGGAGTTTTATCCTGGACCGGGTCCAGACTGAGCAGGCCGCTGTTATGAAGAGGGTGGGACTCTGAGGGACGTCCGACCAGACCACTGAGACGCTCCAGCTCACTGCGGGGGACAGGAGGGGACAGGTCACGCCTACGGAGAACCAGGGTCTGGATCCAGATAGCTGCTAAATGTTCTACAATCTGAATGTTCTAGATCTGGACAGATCTAGAATTCCCATGTCTAGATCTGGGAATTTCTTTTTCTAATCTGATCCAGTCCAGTGATGGACGTCGCCTCTATTGGAGGGACAGCGGGACTGTTGGTCTACGTTCACACTGCACGCCTTGATGCTCAATCCATTTCTTTTTGCGCGTTCCAACTATGTCCCGCATGCGCAGTAGAGGACACCATGACGTCACGGGCCAGCCTGCTCTGTGTTTACGGAAGTAAACATGGATGCTAGTGCCGACCTAGCCATCTTTTCCAACCATAAAATCTCAATCTTTTCAAGATGGTTAAACATAAATACTGCTCTCCGCTAGTGTTAATTTCGTTAACGAAAACTAAACGAAAATATTTTCGTCAACGCACATTTTTCACCGAACGAAAACTAGACGAGACAAGACGAAAATCCCCACTAATAAACAATAACTGGGACTAAATCAGAAATAATTTTCGTGGACTAATAAAGACGAGACGAAAATGCTGTTCGGTAAATAAAGACTGGACTAAAATCTATGGACATTTTAGTTCACTAACAAAGACGAGACGAAAATTATATATTATTATTTTATGGTTTTTTCAAATCCTGTCTCGTCTCCTCCTGCGCCTCCTCCTCGTCAGCTCCCACACACCCACTTTCAAACCTGGAGCGGGCTGCACAGAGTAGCCTACTCTGGGGCTCGGGAGAAAGAGGAGACGTGATCTATGGACACATTTTCGCTTCATTGAAGTGGAGAACAAACCCAAATGCTTGATTTTAGTGGAAGGGAAGGAATGTGGCCACACGGTAGCTGGAAAAAACACAACAAACCTGAAGAGACGCGTCGCAGTTCACCACAAAGACATTACGGTAAGCTAACAGAAAGATTGGTGGTGGTTGTTTATAATGTAACATTAAATCAACGGCTATAATGTCCCAATGATAAACTAACTAATGTTGGCTAACTTTCATAGCATTTAGTATCCAGGCTGGCTACGTTACGTTAGCTTGTTAGCACGTAGCGACGGTAGCCACTTGTTGATAGCATTGTATGTAAAGTTAAATTTATGCTAACTTAGATATGTTATACTGGCCGGGCAACTATAGTTTCTGTTAAATTGCAAGTTTGATTAAAGCAGACAGACGTTTTAGGTGAACTAGGAGCAGCAAGTGAACTACAGTTAACAGAAAACACCTCGGCAGCTACACATGTATGCTAAATGCTAAAACGAACTGAAACTATTTATCAGGATAAGACAAAATAAAAATAATATGCCACACATAATTCAGAACAACTTTAACCTAGATTTTCATATACAAAATAGCCGTTGCTAGGGGAACCACTGCAGGGATGTCTTTATTTGGTGACATAAAATGCTGCTCTGTTTATCTGCATATTACTATTACAAGGACATTTGATTTGAATTGGCATCAATATTAATACAACCAAAATGCATGCACACCTAAAAATGTCTGCAATTTATTTCTGCATAAAATGATAGTTAGGTTGTTTGTATGAGTTTGAAATGGATGGTCAAATGTAGTTTTTATAGTGACTTAGTTTTTAAGTAAAATAACAGACCTATATGCTACTTATACACTTGGAATTCCTGTTATGCTGTTTATCTATCCTGACATTGTATTAATTTCTGTTCCAGATTAAAGATACACCACCACCAATCTACCAGCCACCCAGAAACAATGACAGGCCAGCTAAAGCTGGCAGGAAAGCACTTTTGTTCTATCAGTTGGAGTTTTTTTTTTTTTTAACAACATTGACCTTAAATCTATTTATTTTATTATTCTATGTGAACTAGCTTTAAACAGCCAGCACTTGTGTAAAGTTCATAAGACACTTTATTTTATTTATTTGTTTCCTTTGCCAGGTGTGTTTTATTTGTTTTAATGCAAGCATTTGTGTTTGTGTCTTTGAACCTTAACAATGTTCAAAATAAATATGCAAATATTGTCAGAACATCTTCCATGTCTGGATGTGTTCCTTAAAATTGTGTTTTTTATCAAACAGATGAGAGAAAATGTTGAAATAATTTTAGGAAATCTTAAACGTTATCTGCTGACAAAAAAGTAAATGGTTAAAATTATGTCCTGACTAAAACTAAACTAATAAAATTATGTTTTCTTGGACTAAAATAAAGACTAAAATGCTTGACTTATAGTCGACTAAAACTAGACTAAATAAAAATGCGATGATGTCGACTAAATGTGATAAAAACTAACAAACGATGCTGAAACTGGACTAAGACTAAAACTAAATTTAAAAATGGCTGCTAAAATTAACACTACTCTCCGCATCATCGTCCACCATGGTTGTTTGTTTTTCTTGCCGCTTCTGCGCAGCAGGATGCAGAATAGTGACCTTCGTCGGGTATTAATGACGTTCAGGTCGGATGAATCCGACATGGCCGCTCAGACACAGGTCGCATTTGGAAAGATCGGATTGGTATCGGATTCAGGACCACAGAGCCCAGTGGCCTCAGTCAAATTGGAAAAAATCGGATCCATGTTGTTCAGACTATCATGAAAAGCGCAGGTCGCTATGGGCCAAAACATTTGGGTGACTTCAGGCTGCAGTGTGAACGTAGCCTTCCACACACATCTGGTTCACAGTCTGCTGCTAAGCAGGAGGACCTGGACCAAGGACCAGGAGGACCTGGGCCAAGGACCAGGAGATCCTTCAGCCTTTAGTTCAGCTGTGAAGCAGAGACACGTCTGGAAGAAGGAGGACATCAGAGCCTCAGGGCTGGATCACTGCTGGTTCTGGCAGCCATCTTGGATTTGATCTATAGGATGAAATCTATAATTACTGCATCCACCACTCTGCCCAGATCTGGTCTGGGGTTTGGTCTACATCTGAGCAGAGTTCTGTCTGCAGAGGAACGCTCTGATCTCTATATTGGAGAAACCAAACAACCTCTCCACAGACGCATGGCCCAACACAGAAGAGCGCCCTCCTCTGGACAAGACTCTGCGCTACATCTACACCTGATGGACAAAGGACATTCTTTGGAGGACCAGAATGTTCACATTTTGGACAAAGAGGACAGGTGGTTTGAGAGGAAGGAAGCATCTATGTTAAGAAAGATAAACCTTAAACAGGAGCTTATAGGAGAACAGAAGACCTCCCCTATTCATCCAGACCAACTATTCCCTCTAATGCCCCCCCTTTCAGAGGCATAGACAGGTATGGGGCATTGCAGGCTAACGAAGTCAAACGACCCCCATTCCAAAGGGGGGGACCCGTTCATCCGTTTATATTTGCATGTTTTCTAAACGGTCCAGAGCAGGAAGCAGATTTCTCCCCTTTCACATCTAAATCATTATTTTATCCTGAGAGGATTAATAGTTTCCTCTAATCCAGTCAAACAGCTTCTAGAGTGAATCTGCCAACTTGTGATCTCAGGCCTGGATGGAGAGATGCTGAGTTTGGAGGTAGAGAACAAACCAATGTTGATGATCCTCATTATCCTCTATTACAAACATCCACAACCAGAAAATAATAATAATAATAATAATAATAATAATAAAGCGCAGCTCTCCATGACAGGAGGAACAGCGGAGGATGAAGGCGCTGCTTTGATCATGTGATCTGCAGCGGGGTGGAGGATGAGGGATCTGGGGTCAGTCTATGTCAGCGGGTCTGGACCAGGCTGTGGGCGGATCGGGTCTTACTTGAGGTCCCTGTTGACGGCCTGCAGGGTGTCCTGGAACTCGGAGATGAACTGCTTCTCGCGGCCTTCCAAAGTCTCGCGGTTTTTCATTCCGTCCTTCAGGGACTCGAACACGCGGCTGACGCTGGAGCGCAGCGCCTGGATGCCGCTGATGGCGTGAGAGAAGGCGTCCAGATTCACCCCGACGGAGATCGGTTCCGCCATCTTGGTGCCGCCGGTCTGAGGTTCTTCTTCTTCTCCTTCCTCAGTATCTCTTCTTCTTCTGTTTAATGGCGGTGGGCAGGCACTGTTTAGCTGCGCTTTACCGCCACCTTCTGGCAGGAGGCTGGATTTAAAACTTACATTCTGTGATTTAAACCTGTTTTCCTAAAACCTGCAGCAGATGTCTGTTTATTCTGTTACACTGTGAACAAAAATAATATCTAGATTAGATTCTGAATGAATTTCCTTAATTCTTACCAGAGCACTGCTGGAAAAAGTACTTTAATAGCTCATTTATCATCTTCAGCATTACTTTATGCCAACATGAGACGTTAATGGATAAAAGCCTTTAACTTTAGCAGGTTTATATTTAGGAACAGTAGTTGACCTCTGGCTGCCTTCCTGCATCCCAGACTCTAAAGTTCCAAACCTCTCATCCTCAGTCTTTCTAGCAGATTTAAAGTAACAGGGATCATTAGGGTCATCCGTGGTTTGGATGAACTCTGTTCTCTGCTTCCAAACTCAGCATCTCTACATCCAGGCCTGACATGAGACGTTTCTTTTGAAGTTGTGAGAAGCGCTCTTGGGCGTTTTGATTGGATTGAATAAAATGGTTACTCCTCTCAGTATAAAAAAAAATATTTTGACCAAGATGAGAAATCTGCTTCCTGGTCTGTTAGTTTGCATCATTTGATTAAATGGTCTTTTGGGGAATATTTAAGCTCACAAATGAGCCTGGAATGTCTTGAGAATGGCTTAGTCTCCGGTTAAACCCAGGTTTAAAGCCTTGCAGGGCAGCCTAAAGCCCACTGCCAACATTAAGACAGAGAAAAGAAAGAAAATAACAAACGATCAGTTCAGGGGTTTGAGAAAATATGGGAATCAGGGAATTATCTATAAACCAAACTGAACCATTGTTCTAAACTTTAAATAACACGTTAAATTTAAAAATGGATGCAAAACAATTCATTTTATTTCAGTGTTAGATGGACCAGAGTCTTTGAAATAGATAGAAAACTCTGAATCAATCTGACTGGATGATCTGGTGAACTGGAAAGTGACCTGAGATGACATGATGGGAATTGTTTGGAAACAGCAGCGCTACTGCAGGTCATTCATCCCTGCTACACCCAGACTCTACAATGAGACGCTACAACCGCAATAACTGCTGCTATGGAGAAGGATTACTATCTAATACCCTGTTTCTCTATATCTGTCACCCTGTGCAATAAGTATATATATATATATAAATATATCTCTGATATAGAGACGACAACGACCTGGACTACAGAGAGGAGGTGGAGCAGCTGGTGGAGCAGAGATAACAGCCTGATCCTGAAGATGGAGAAGACCAAGGAGATCATGGTGGACTTCAGGAAGAAGCGGCCTAACCACGCTCCACTGCTCATCAACAGCTCAGCTGTAGAGGTGGTCATTCATCACAGACACCCTCACCTGGACTGGAAACACCACCTCACTGGTCCAAAGGGCCCAGAAGCCCCCCCCATCCTCCCCACCTTCTCCAGAAGCACCATAGAGAGCGTTCTGAGCAGCTGTCTCACTGTGTGGTGTGGAGGCTGCAGCGCCTCAGACTGGAAGAAGGTGAGAACAGCAGAGAGGATCATGGGGGCTCCTCCGACCCGCTGTCTCACTGTGGTGTGGAGGCCAAGTTAAGGTCATTTGATAAAAATGATGAAATCTGATTATCATAAAAAATCCTGAAATCAGCAAAAGTATAAATGTAGACTGACTGCTTGGACTGACAGACAGCAGCTGGAAGGTTTGGTCATTATTTACAGGTTCATCATTTTATCGCAGTATTTTCTCTTTCTATGATACTCTGGTCTGGAAGGAAGGTTTATTAATAAACATTTATTTTCAGTTTATTTTTAAATCTGAAATAACTGTGGAAGTTAGAGCAGGAAATGAATATTTCACTAAAGATTAGATGGTGCATGCAGCCCTGCATTACTGATGATTAATGAGATATTTGATCAATTAGATCCAAGAAGTAGAAAATCTTTATATGCAGACGATGAAGCTGGTTTCCTAGCAGGCTAAAATATTTGATGATCAATATTCTGAACAGATTAAAGTTCTTAGATTTTAGCTCACTTGGAAACAACATTTGGAAAAAGTGAAGACTTCTCTGCGATAGCACAGGATATGGGAGGAACAGCGGCGGCTGTAGGCTTTGCGCAGGAGGTCTGCAGCGGTGGATGTGGGATTTCAGCGTTAGAAACTGTCATCAGACAACATGCAGTAATTTATAAATTACTGCATGTAATGCAAAAGGCAACTGTCAGGCGGGTCCTCTAATCCATGACCTCTGACCTAGCCTTTAACAGCTGTGCGCTGTTGGCAACAGGAAGTTGAACAGGAAGTCGTCCCTATTAAAAGCTCCGCCGGGGGGGGGGGGGGGGGGGGTGTCTTCAGAGGGGAGTAGTTCCGGTTACATCAGCGACATTTGAGGCATGCTGACAGAAGATTTTCCTTCATCTCAAAAACAAATAAAAAAGCAGTTTAGAAACTCCTGTTGACCCTGGAAACAAGAAGTCCTCCATCCCTTAAAAGCTCCTTTGGGTTAAAGCCAGGATCTTTGGTCATAACTGCTGCCTTAGTAGATCCTGCTGACAAACCACTGTAGGAAAAAAGCATCAAATATGCAGTCCAGCCATAGGAAATCTAAGGTATTTCACTCACTGGGCAACTTATTGATCTTTGCAAAGATGAGATGAGAAGAAGGCAAATATTAACACAGCTTGATGTCCTGCCCTGCTCTAACTAGTCAGTTTCTGTCGCTAACTGGACGTTTTGCCAAAGGGAGCCGTGGCGGTTTTCCCACAGAGTTCAGCTAAACCAGTTACAGCCTTTTTTGGAAGCAGTTGATATGTAGAATAAACCTCGAGGAGAACCGGTGTGGCCTGTTATGGTCACACTCCTCCAATGTCTCCTTCCTCAACAAGCAACAACATTTATGCTGGTTTTGAGGGAACGCTACAGCTGTAACCACGGCGGCCATTACCCCAGACCACCAGCCACTGACTGACTCTCTACTGGCGTAGGAGTGGTCCTAGTGGTCCACCCCGCACTCACACTCTGCTCACTCCTGCCCTCTGGGAGGCGCTACTGAAACCTACAACTAGAACCAGCAGATGTGGGAATAGCTTATTCCCCTACAGCTGCCACGCTCCTGAACGCCTCCTGACACCAAATATAAGGCCTATAGACCTCCATCTGGGTAGATACAGACTACATTTCATTACTTTGCACTTGCAACAGTGTAAAGGAACAGGAAGATAGTGGGGGGGGGAGCTTAAAGCCGGTGGAGTTCAGCCATCAGAGTGTCAAGGGTTCTGAGAGCAGATGGAGGAGGAGGAGCAAGAGGCTTAAAGACCTAGAGTGAGGATGAAGAGGATTAAAGAGCAGAAACAGAACAACTAGAGAAGAAAAACAAATGAAGGAAAGTCTGGATTCTATCATCTTTCTTCCAAGATTCAACCTGAAAATCCTCAGAGGGACAGAAGGTGGGTTACTGGTCCAACACTCCTCCATCACAAGCTTTTATTTCCTCCTCCTCAGCAGGAGCAACAGCAACAGCAGCAACAGCAGCAACAGCAACAGCAGCAACAGCAACAGCAGCAACAGCACAGGAACAAGGGCTCTATTTCAGTCAGGTGTGAGGAGGCAGGAAACGCTGGAACATGGACTGATGGACTCTGATGGACTGATGGACTCTGATGGACTGATGGACTCTGATGGACTGATTGACTCTGATGGACTCTGATGGACTCTGATGGACTGATTGACTCTGATGGACTCTGATGGACTGATGGACTGATGGACTCTGATGGACTGATTGACTCTGATGGACTCTGATGGACTCTGATGGACTGATGGACTCTAATGGACTCTGATGGACTGATGGACTCTGATGGACTTTGATGGACTGATGGACTCTGATGGACTCTGATGGACTGATGGACTCTGATGGACTGATTGACTCTGATGGACTCTGATGGACTCTGATGGACTGATGGACTCTAATGGACTCTGATGGACTGATGGACTCTGATGGACTTTGATGGACTGATGGACTCTGATGGACTCTGATGGACTGATGGACTGATTGACTCTGATGGACTCTGATGGACTCTGATGGACTGATGGACTCTGATGGACTGATGGACTCTGATGGACTCTGATGGACTGATGGACTCTGATGGACTGATGGACTCTGATGGACTCTGATGGACTCTGATGGACTGATGGACTCTGATGGACTCTGATGGACTCTGATGGACTGATGGACTCTGATGGACTGATGGACTCTGATGGACTCTGATGGACTGATGGACTCTGATGGACTGATGGACTCTGATGGACTCTGATGGACTGATGGACTCTGATGGACTGATGGACTCTGATGGACTCTGATGGACTCTGATGGACTGATGGACTCTGATGGACTGATGGACTCTGATGGACTCTGATGGACTGATGGACTCTGATGGACTGATGGACTCTGATGGACTCTGATGGACTGATGGACTCTGATGGACTGATGGACTCTGATGGACTCTGATGGACTCTGATGGACTGATGGACTCTGATGGACTGATGGACTCTGATGGACTCTGATGGACTGATGGACTCTGATGGACTCTGATGGACTGATGAACTCTGATGGACTGATGGACTCTAATGGACTCTGATGGACTGATGGACTCTGATGGACTGATGGACTCTAATGGACTCTGATGGACTGATGGACTCTGATGGACTTTGATGGACTCTGATGGACTGATGGACTCTGATGGACTCTGATGGACTGATGGACTTTGATGGACTGATGGACTTTGATGGACTCTGATGGACTGATGGACTCTGATGGACTCTGATGGACTGATGGACTTTGATGGACTGATGGACTCTGATGGACTCTGATGGACTGATGGACTCTGATGGACTCTGATGGACTGATGGACTTTGATGGACTGATGGACTTTGATGGACTCTGATGGACTTATGGACTCTGATGGACTCTGATGGACTGATGGACTCTGATGGACTCTGATGGACTGATGGACTTTGATGGACTCTGATGGAATCTGATGGACTGATGGACTCTGATGGACTGATGGACTCTGATGGACTCTGATGGACTGATGGACTCTGATGGACTGATGGACTTTGATGGACTCTGATGGACTGATGGACTTTGATGGACTCTGATGGACTGATGGACTCTGATGGACTGATGGACTTTGATGGACTCTGATGGACTCTGATGGACTTTGATGGACTCTGATGGACTGATGGACTCTGATGGACTGATGGACTTTGATGGACTCTGATGGACTGATGGACTGATGGACTCTAAAGGACTCTGATGGACTGATGGACTCTGATGGACTTTGATGGACTGATGGACTTTGATGGACTCTGATGGACTGATGGACTCTGATGGACTGATGGACTTTGATGGACTCTGATGGACTGATGGACTCTGATGGACTGATGGACTTTGATGGACTCTGATGGACTGATGGACTCTGATGGACTGATGGACTTTGATGGACTCTGATGGACTGATGGACTCTGATGGACTGATGGACTCTGATGGACTCTGATGGACTCTGATGGACTAATGGACTCTGATGGATTGATGGACTGATGGACTCTGATGGACTGATGGACTGATGGACTCTGATGGACTGATGGACTAATGGACTCTGATGGATTGATGGACTGATGGACTCTGATGGACTTTGATGGACTCTGATGGACTGATGGACTCTGATGGACTCTGATGGACTGATGGACTCTGATGGACTTGGTTAACTTTAGATGGATGACTCAGCTCCTCTGATGCGGTTTCAGCTCCTAGTCCTTCTGAGGACAGTCTGCTTCAGTTTAGCCCGGGACATGTTGGCTTCCTGTTGAAACAATTCAAGCAAAAAAGAAAAGGAGAATTAAGACGTTAAAATCTTTGATCTGTCTTCACTCCTTTGGTCATAACATGTAGATGGAGCAGCTGATGGTTTAAACTAGAGCTGAACTCAGGATCATCCAGCCAAAGGACTTAGTCAGATATTTAAGGGGACATTTCCTGGCAGATTAAGGGGGAACTAAGGAGAGCAGCAACAGAGACAGTAGGTCTGCTACAGTATAGATTAGGTTGAATAGATCTATGGCTTCCTGTCAGACACTTGCCCCAGCATCGTGAGAACATTGGAGCTGGCAGCAATCTGCCCTCCTGGTTTGCTTCTACATTTTGGGCTTAGCTCCTTTATAACTCAATGACTGCCTTCTAAACCAGCTAATGGTGCTGAGAACCGAGCAGAAAACGTTTATTAGCACAAACATAACAAACAGAAGTGCAGAGCGGGGGATCAGGGGACAGCAGCGACTCGGGGGGGCACCGCCAAACCACTGACACTCTGGTTTAACAGTTAGGGTTAGTGAGACTGGGAGGAAGGCAGGATCCAGCTGATGGACTGCCAATGAGCTGCGGTGCAGAGCCGCCCAGAGTGTCCCTGATGCAGCAGCCCCAGGGAGCGGGCAGGAATCCTGGCCAGGTCAGGGAAAACAGATCAGAACAGGACAGTTCTGGGATCCAGGAGTCCGTAGACCCACCTGGGGTTCTGATCTGGACAGGAACAGATCCAGGGTTCCAGGAATCCATGGAATGTTAGGGGAGGTTCAGAGCTCCATGAGTCCAGCAGCCAGCTCAGACATGGAGATAGGCGGGCTCAGTGGCTGAGGGACAGAGATAAGACATGTTACCAGGAGAACTGCAGAACTTTAAACTGGACTCCCCCAAGAGCCAGGCCTACGGGACTTAAACCCCCCCATGGAGGCCAGACTAGGGGGGGGGGGGGGATATGTCGTTCTGGGGCTCTGACTGTTATTGTTGTTCTGTTTCAGGCCTGAGGGGGGCACTGCTCCTCCCAACGGACTTCTACTTTGAACTCTCCCTGGATTGTGATGACACCCTGTCTGAAGGAGATGTGGAAGAGCCTAAGTTGAGGACAGAAAATGAGAAAGCTAATGAACTTCCTGTGTGACTGACTGCTCCCCACCATGTCCTCCACCTGCTGGCTCAAAGGACTCTTCATCCTCCTCATCATCTTACTGCCTCTCTGCTCCTCCCAAGTCAGCAGTCCGTTTGACAGCTGCAGCTCTCCGTCGGCCTCGGAGGCACGGCGAGGATGGCAGTTCCTCCCATGTCAGCCACCTTCCACCAACATGAAGGAGTTCATGCAGATCAGGGTGGATCCTCCTGGGATCACCTGTGGAAACCCACCTGAAAGGTTCTGCACATTGGTCAGTGTGATTATCACATACCTCACCTGTACTGTTTGTCCACAGCAGAGTGTCTGACTGCCCTGGCTGTTGGCTGTCCACCGAGTCAATCAGAGAGACAGCCTGGGTGAGCCAGTCTGCTTTATCTAACACAATTCAATTCAGTTTATTTCTATAGCGCCAATGCAATCCCTCACACTAAGCATGCTTGTAGCGACAGTGGAGAGGAAAAACTCCCTTTTAACAGGAAGAAACCTCCAGCAGTGTGAGCGGCCATCTGCTGAGGCCCACTGGGGTTTAAGGAGACAGAAGCAGACATAGAAAAAACGGTTTCTTAAGCAGAGGTTTAATTCCAGCAACCTTAAAAGCTTTAGGTACATATCCCTGTAACAGAGATAGATTAATCACATCTAGAATGGAGGAGGAGATCAAAGGGAATACCTCCTTAAATAACCTGGTTGGAACTGGATCTAACATCCAAGTTGAAGGCTTAGATGAAGACAATAGTTTTGCTAACTCTGAAAGTTCAACTGGATCAGAGCAGTCTAAACCCGGTTCAGATTCCACGACTACCTCAGATGCTGCCCCCCCCCCCCTCCAGAGATAAACCAAACACACCTCTGGATGGTTTCGCCGATAAAACCGACCCCTATCAGGAACCTCCACTGATATGCTAAACAGGGAAGGTCTAACCTAAATCTAGAATCTATGTCCTTCGGGTCGAACGCTGTCCAGCAACACCTCAGCTCTGGATTTGAACCAGAGACCTTCTACCATTGATGGGCAATGGGATAAAACTGAGATCCTGGCCTGGTTGATGGGACAGGTGTTGTGAATGAAACGGTGCCCAGCTTGAAAGAGCTCCTGTGTGTCTCTGAATGTGAGCATTGATGACTGAAAGACATCTTCTGCCTCCATTTATCTGTTTACTGCAGTCTGCTGGATTCATGTTCATGTGGATTTAAAGACATTTCAATTAGTGGAAAAAATTACAGAGGGGCATATAAAAATATTTTATTAACCAAAACTTTCACGACCCCCATGCAGTACCTCAGTTGACCCGCTAGGGGTCGCGGACCACCTGTTGAAGACCTCCGGTCTAGAAGGTAAACAATCCGATGCATCTTCCTCTGTTTGAATAGAATTTGCATTGAATTAAAAATCAGAAGAAGAAAGTAGAAAAAAGTCACCCAGTGAGCCTCTGCAGGGCCAGGAGCCACGGTTTGGACACTGCAGAGGGTCCATGTGTCCTCCTTGCTGTCCAATGGTCCCCTTTGGAACATACATCATTAATGTTTTAAAAAAAGAATTTAAATAATAAACTCAATTGTAAATAACTGATTGCAAATGGCAGGAAGGGGTCCAAAGCTTCAGCTCAGTGGTTCTGCCTTCATTTAATCCATCATTTTCAACATTTTTAGGAAACTTAATGACATTTTATGGAGACTCGCCACTCAGAAAACAAAGACGGCATCTTTAGGCAGAGACTAAAACATCTCAGAGAAAAAAGAAACATGATATGAACTATGCCTTGAAGGAGTCACACCTCCCAGACTGAAATCTGCTGTTTCTGTCATATAAAATATTCTAGACAGGTTGGTTAGTTGTTAGAGCTGGTTAGTTAGACTGTGATGTTTTTTAGAGGATCATTAGTTAGACTGCGCTGGTTGTTGGAGGTTAATTTGTTTGACTGGCCTAGTTTTTTTGAGGATGGTTAGTTAGACCAGGCTGGTTTTTGGAGGATGATAACTTAGACAGGGCTGGAGGATAAAAGATACTTAGTTAGACTGGGCTGGTTGTTAGCTTATTCCCCTTCACAGGTTGATGATTTTGTTGATGGGGTTGCTAGTTCTCTGCGTATTGCCTTAGACAACGCAGCTCCTTTGAAAATGAAAACCGTTAAAAATAGAAAGCTTGCTCCTTGGTTTAATGCAGAGCTGCGTACTTTGAAGCAAAATGCTAGGAAACTGGAGAGAAAATATCGCTCCACAGGCCTGCGAGAGTCCTTCCTAGTCTGGAAAAATGGTTTACTGCTGTATAAGAGGACCCTTTGTAAAGCAAGAGCAGCATACTTCTCCTCATTAATAGAGGAGAATAAGAATAATCCTAGATTTCTTTTTAATACAGTTGCCAAACTCACCCAGAGCCATAGCTCTGTTGAACCGTCCATTCCACCTGCTCTTAGCAGCAATGATTTTATGGGATTCTTTATAAATAAGATTGATCTTATTAAAAATAAGATCATAAGCACTCCTCTATCCGCGATTGTACCTGAGGTAGTCATGGAATCTGAACCGGGTTTAGACTGCTTTGATCCAGTTGAACTCTCTGAATTAGCAAAATTATTGTCTTCATCTAAGCCTTCAACTTGTATGTTAGATCCAGTTCCAACCAGGTTATTTAAGGAGGTATTCCCTTTGATCTCCTCCTCCATTTTAGATGTGATTAATCTATCTCTGTTACAGGGATATGTACCTAAAGCTTTTAAGGTTGCTGTAATTAAACCTCTGCTTAAGAAACCGTCTCTTGACCCAGATGACTTGGTCAATTATAGACCTATATCCAATCTTCCTTTCTTATCCAAAATTCTTGAGAAAGTAGTTGCCAAACAAGTTTGCGATCACTTCCACCATAATGAACTTTTTGAAGAGTTTCAGTCTGGCTTTAGAGCTCATCATAGCACTGAAACAGCTCTGGTGAAAGTCACTAATGATATTCTCATGGCCTCAGATAATGGACTTGTATCTGTGCTCGTCCTGTTGGATCTTAGTGCTGCATTTGATACAGTTGACCATAATATTCTTTTAGAAAGACTTGAATATTTTGTTGGAATTAAAGGAACAGCACTAGACTGGTTTAAATCTTATCTATCTGATCGAATTCAGTTTGTTCATGTTAATGATAGATCTTCAACACGCTCAAAGGTTACCTGTGGAGTACCACAGGGATCAGTGCTAGGACCAATTCTCTTTACTTTATACATGCTCCCAATTGGTAGAATTATTAGACAGCATGGGATTAATTTCCACTGTTATGCTGATGATACCCAGCTATATCTGTCTATAAATCCAGATGAAGCTAACCCATTACATAGATTACAGGCATGTCTTGAAGACATAAAAACCTGGATGACTCTTAACTTTCTGCTTCTGAATGCAGACAAAACAGAAGTTATAGTCTTTGGACCAGAGTCTCTGAAAAAGAAGCTGATTAGCCAGTCACTTCATTTGGATGGGATTAAACTGATTTCAGATAATAAAGTAAAAAATCTTGGTGTTATTTTTGATCAGGACCTGTCATTTAAATCCCATATCAAAGAGGTTTCTAGAATTTCCTTCTTTCATCTGAGGAACATTGCAAAAATTAGAAATATCCTGTCCAGGGGTGATGCTGAGAAACTAGTCCATGCATTTGTTACTTCAAGGCTGGACTATTGTAATTCTTTACTATCAGGAAGTCCACAAACTGTAGTTAAAAGCCTTCAGCTGATCCAAAATGCTGCAGCCAGAGTTCTAATGAAAATTAAAAAGAGAGATCATATCTCTCCTATCCTGGCTTCTCTTCATTGGCTTCCTGTTAAATCAAGAATAGAATTTAAAATCCTCCTTCTCACATATAAAGCCTTAAATGGCCAAGCTCCATCTTATATCAGAGATCTGATTGTTCCTTATGTTCCTAACAGAGCACTTCGCTCTCAATCTGCAGGTTTACTAGTGGTTCCTAGAATTTCTAAAAGTAGAATGGGAGGCAGATCTTTTAGTTCTCAGGCTCCTCTCCTGTGGAACCAACTACCAGTTTTAGTCCGTGAGGCAGACACCCTGTCTACTTTTAAGGCTAGGCTTAAAACTTTCATTTTTGATAAAGCTTATAGTTAGGGTGGCTCAGGTTATCCTGATCTATCTCTATAGTTCTGCTGCTATAGGCTTAGACTTTTGGAGGACATAGGGACCCCCATTTCATCATTCTGCTTCATTCTCTCTCTGTTCTCCTATTCTGCAGAATCTGTTAGTTCAATCTCTAACCTTCTGCTCTCTCTGCTTTTCCTCAGAGTAGCTTTGCCTCGTCTGTTCCTGTTTGGCTGTGACGTCATCCTGGAAAAAAACATCAGCTGTGCTTCTGGCATGGGAGCTGCCTTGGAGCTCGTCTGCCTGGCTGTGTGTTTCCTGGACGGGGCCGCCTTTTACAGCTGCTTTTTGTATCTCTGCTTCTGTCTCCTTGAACCCCAGTCGGCCTTGGCAGATGGCCACTCACACTGAGCCTGGTTCTGCTGGAGGTTTCTTCCTGTTAAAAGGGAGTTTTTCCTCTCCACTGTCGCTACAAGCATGCTTAGTGTGAGGGATTGTATTTGAGTCAATGAGTCAATGCAATCAACTGGTTTTCCTTAGATAGAAAACTTTGTATCAATTTGACTGTATGATCTGGTTGAACTGTAAAGTGCCTTGAGATGACATGTGTTGTGAATTTGGCGCTATATAAATAAACTGAATTGAACTGAATTGAATTGTTGGAGGATAGTTAGTTAGACTGGCTGGTTGTTAAAGGATAGTTAGTTAGACTGGCTGGTTGTTGGAGGATAGTTAGTTAGACTGGCTGGTTGTTAAAGGATAGTTAGTTAGACTGGCTGGTTGTTAAAGGATAGTTAGTTAGGCTGGCTGATTGTTGGAGGATAGTTAGTTAGACTGGCTGATTGTTAAAGGATAGTTAGTTAGACTGGCTGATTGTTGGAGGATAGTTAGTTAGACTGGGCTGATTGTTGGAGGATAGTTAGTTAGACTGGGCTGGTTGTTGGAGGATAGTTAGTTAGACTGGCTGGTTGTTAAAGGATAGTTAGTTAGACTGGCTGGTTGTTAAAGGATAGTTAGTTAGGCTGGCTGATTGTTGGAGGATAGTTAGTTAGACTGGGCTGATTGTTGGAGGATAGTTAGTTAGACTGGCTGGTTGTTAAAGGATAGTTAGTTAGGCTGGCTGATTGTTAAAGGATAGTTAGTTAGACTGGCTGATTGTTGGAGGATAGTTAGTTA